TTTCTTTTTTTAAAAAAAATTTGTTTATTTTATTGTTGTTGAGAATATACATAGCAAAATACACAGGTTGTTTGTCTTAATATTGGGTTGTAGGGAGTTTTAATATATTCCAGATTTAAGCAGCTTTTTTTTGGATATTTTCTCTCAGTCTATGGCTTGGTTGTTTTTATTTTCGTAACACTATCTTTTGAAGAGCAGACGTTTTTAAATTAGATGAAGTCTAATTTATTGACCTTTTTCTTTTTAGTTCATGCTTTTTGTGTCCTGTTTAAGAAATACTTGCCAAACCTGAGGTTACTAAGATTTTCTTCTATGTTTTTGTCATGGAATGAACTGTGTCCCCCGGAAGTATCTGTCAGCTTGGCTGGGTCATGATTTCTAGTATTGTATAATTGTGTACCATTTTGTAATATGATGGGATTTGCTTATGTGCTGTAAATTCAATCAATATAATCTAATAAGATGGATTAGCAGCAGTTATACTGATGAGGTCTACAAGATTGGATAGTGTCTTAAGCCAATCTCTTTTGAGAAATAAAAGAGAGAAGTGAGCAGAGACACATGGGAACCTCATACCATCAAGAAAGCAGTGCCAGGAGCAGAGCATGTCGTTTGGACCTGAGGTTCCTGCACTGAGATGCTCCCAGACCAAGGGAAGATTGATGACATGGACTTTCCTCCAGAGCCGACAGAGAAAACATTACCCTGGAGCTGATGACCTGAATTTGAACTTGTAGCCTACTAGACTATGAGAGAATAAACTTCTCTTTGTTAAAGCCATCCACTTGTGGTATTTCTGTTACAGCAGCACTAGATGACTAAGACAGAATTTGGTACCGAGAGTGGGGTGCTGCTCTAACAGATACCTAAAAAGTGGAATCAGTTTTCAAACTGTGAATGGATAGAGGAGCGGCAGCAACAGAGGACCGGCAGCAGCAGAGAACCTGCAGCAGCAGAGAAGTGGCAGTAGCTGAGAACCAACAGCAGCACAACCAGGAGACCAGCGCAAGGCGGTGCTGGAGCTGACCCACGGAGCGAGAGGGCTGAGTGCCTGTGTGCAGGAGGCTTCCTGGTGGAGTGGGGTCCCTGCAGGCACTTATCGGTGGAGCTAAGCTTGCCAACCCATGGAGCGAGGGAGGTGAGTGCCTGTGCACAGGAGGCTTCCTTGTGGAGGGGGGTGCCTCTGGGCACTTATTGGTGGAGCTACCAAGCTTTGGAACACTTGCCCCAGCAGGGCAGATGCGGGCATGAGGCCCAAGGGCCAAGAGGCCACAGGAAGCAGAAGCTGAAGAGACAAGGAACACAAGAAGTGGAGCTGCCTCAGTCTCAAAAGGTTTGGCCATGACCTAAGGGGTTTCAAAGGGTGGAGCCACGGCCTCTGATATTTCTAAGGGTGGAGTTGTCACTCCCATGGACTAGGAGAATGGTGCGCCTGAAGATGAGGCAGCAGCGATGCCATCTCCGTGGGGCTGGAAGGCGGAGCTCAAGCCCAGGGTCAAGGGGCCTCCACTCAGAATCCAGAGACGGTGGCCAATACCTAGAGTCTGCAGGGCAGGGCTATTGCGTAAGTTGTCTCAGAGAACAGAACATTATTTTCAAAGCCTTGAGGGCTAATGTAATGTGTTCTGCTGACTTGCTTGGTGCCTGTTATCCCTTCTTCTCCTCCAGTTTCTTCCATTTGTAATGGAAATGTCTGGCTTGTACCTGTTCTGCCATTGGACCTTTGGAAGCAGATAACTTGTATTCTAGATTTCACAGATAAAGAGGAATTTTTGGATTTTGGACTTGGAATTAAAACTTTTGCTGTGATATGATGAGATGAATATTTTTTGCATGTTGCGAGGATATGAGTTTTTGGGGGCCAAAGGGTAGAGTGTCATGGATTGAATTGTGCCTCCCAAAAATATCTGTCAACTTGGCCTGGTCATGATTCCCAGTTTGTATAATTGTGTACCATTTGTAATCTGATGTGATTTCGTTATGTGCTGTAAATTCAATCACTATGATCTAATAAGATGGATTAGCGGCAATTGTACTGATGAGTTCTACAAGATTGGATAGTGTCTTAAGCCAATCTCATTTGATATAAAAGAGAAAAGGGAGCAGAGACACATGGGAACTTCATACCGTCAAGAAAGCAGTGCTGGGAGCAGAGCGCGTCCTTTGGACCTGAGGTTTCTACGCTGAGATGCTCCGAGACCACGGGAAGATTGATGACACGGACCTTCCTCCAGAGCTGATAGAGAAAACATTACCCTGGAGCTGATGACCTGAATTTGGACTTGTAGCTTACTAGACTATGAGAGAATAAATTTCTCTTCGTTGAAACCATCCACTTGTATTTCTATTAAAGCAGCACTAGATGACTAAGACAGTTCTCTTCTAGAAGTTTTATACTTTTAACCTTACTTTTAGGTCTGTGATCCATATTGAGTTAATTCTCATGTATAGGGTAAAGCAAGTATCGTAGTTCATTTTTCTTATATATGGCCATACAGTTGTTCAGAACTTTTTGTTGAAAAGATTATTCTTTCTGCCATTCAATTACCTTGGCAACTTTGTCGAAATTACTTGGCTGTATGTGTGGGTCTGTTTCTGGAATTACTACTATTCTGTGCCATTTTTCTATATGCCTGTCTTTATGCCAGTAGCACACCGTATTTATTACTGATATTTTATGATAAGTTCTAAAATCAAGTAGTGGAAGACCACCATCTTTGTTCTTTTTAACAATTGTTTTGGCTATTCTAAGCCTTTTGCATTCCATATAATTTTTTACATGAGTTTGTCAATTCTATAGAAAACCTTCAGGATTTTAATGGGGATTACCTTGAAATTATAGATCAGTTTGGAGAGAATTGACATCTTAACAATACTGAATCTTCCAATTCATAAAAATCATTTATCATTCTTTTTATTTAGAAATTCCTTAGTTTCTCTCAGCAACATTTTATAGTTTTCAGTAATTGTACAGGTCTTGTATATCTTTGTCAGATTTATCCCTAAGTATTTCATACTTTTTGATGCTATTGCAAATGGTCTTTTTTTAAATTTTTGATCTTTGATTGTTTGTTACTGGTATATAGAAATATAATTGATTTTTGTATATTGATGTCACATCATAAACCATGCTGAACTCATTTATTATAGTGGCTTTTTTGTGGTTTCCTTTGGGTTTTATACATGGGACAATCATGTTGTCTGCTAATAATGACAGTTTTACTTCCTTGTTTCCAATCTGGATGGCTTTTATTTCCTTTTCTTGGCTTAATGCACTGCCAAGGATCTCTGGTACAATCCCTGCCTCATTATCTACTTTAAGGGGAAAGCCTTAAACAGTTCACCCCTAATTCTGATGTTAGCTGTAGGTTTTTCTTAGATGCCTTTTGTATATTTGAGGATTTTGTCACATGGCTGTTTTCCCTCTGTTTCTCTGTGTCTGTTCTCTTTTATAAGGACACCACTCAGATTGGATTAGGACCACCATACTCCCGTATGACCTCGTGTTAACTGATAACATTTTCAAAGACCCTGTTTTCAAAACAGATCACATTCACATGTACCAGGGGTTAGGACTTCAACATAAATTTGGGGAGAACATAATTCAAGCAATAACAGATGGTAAATTCAGTTCCTGTTACTCCATTATGGCCAGAGGTAGAAGTCCTCTATCTGCATACTTTAAAATATATTAGTATATATAAATGATATACTTAGCATGGTCAGAGGGAGCGTCTTGGATGTATACCTGCTACTCTTAATGGTTGTAGATTTTATCCTTCTCTTATAACTTAAAGATTTACTATTTTAAGTAAATCACACAGCTTTCGAAGTCATTTGGTGGTAGCCTTATTAAATATGCTAGTCTGAGTAATTGTAGTTCCCCTCTTATATGACATTACCTGTTTTCCAACTTTAATCTTTGACAATCTCGAGTTCCTTTTGCTTTCTGTTTAACATATATGACTCTAACTTCCATTCCTTACCCCAGAGAGATTCTGGGTTCCACAGAGAAGATGCATTGCCTTGTAGTTCTTAGATACTGCCTTGGCAGGGCACCTGGTTACTGGCCCATTGTCAGTGCCAGGCATGCCCAGCCCTATTTCATTCCTTTTGTGTTTGTTGTTTAGTATTTTTGCATTCCCTTTTATCCAACATGATTTGTATTTTGTATAGCTAATTTTTCCTTCATAAAATTGTACTGTTGTTCTTAATCTGTAGTTCACAAATCTTGAATTAAAAAAATAACTTTTAAGGTTATTATAGTTATTTCATTTTAAAGATGCTTTCATTACTAAAGTTAAAAAAGAAGTAATCAGACTTTTAGATTCTCATGTGTAGTTATATGATCATTTTTGTATAGACCATGAAACCTCCAGAGTTCTTCCTCTATTTGATTAAACTGTTTTGTATTATAACTATCTGAAAGGAATAATTCTTGTGACAGAGGTAACACTGAAGGTTATTATTCAGGAGAAAGCAGTTAACATGCATGGTAAATTAAGCCTGTTAATTTAAAACAGATAATGTAAATTTCTAAAACAGCCGTGTCAATTTTGAATAGGGAAGACTTAAAAGACACTTAAAAATGATTTTTCTCCACAAATGAGTGTTACCAGTAGAAACTTTATACATCACTACTAGTATTTATTGCCACCATTTCTTAAGGTTTAAAAGACAAAGAAATGTCTTTTTTTAATCTTCAGATGTGTACAAACTAGCTCAGATTTCTCTAAATTCATAAAATACGGTATTCTTTGTTTTGCTTGTATTGTGTAAGGAGGAAATAAGAGATACATATGATATAGGGATTCTTTGCTCATTACAATGTTTTATGTCTTTGTAAGGAAGCTTTGTACTGTGTTAATCATTTATGGAAATACTATTTCAAAGAATATGGATGACATACATTTTTTAAAGCCTAATTTTCTATACCTTTCTACATTTTCTCTGAGTTTCAGCCTAATAGTTAAGTATGTTTTCTGTCCTGATTTTTACAGGTCAAGGATGAACAGCATCAGTGTTCTTTGGGGAATCTGAAGATTCCTCTCAGCCAGCTGCTCACAAGTCATGATATGACCATGAACCAACGATTCCAACTTAGTAATTCAGGTCCAAACAGCACTATAAAAATGAAGATTGCCCTCAGGGTATTTCATAGTCTTTTGCAATAAAAATAGTAGTGGATGGGGGAGGAAATGGACTACTAATAGGTAATGCTCGTTGGTACTGATTCAGAGATAGAAATATGTCCATGTTTACAAGAAGCAGATAATTTGATTAAAATGATGGCAGCAGTGTTACAGATTGCCAGGAAAGCTGTTTGTTTTGAGTGGAAAATACTGCTGAATATTATGGGAGCCCAGGTGACAGATGATTAAGGATTGGATGCAAGCATATAACAAAAGTAGTATTTCCTGATTGCTTTTGAGTGGACCCAAAATTATTCATTGTGCTTTCACCTGAGTCTGACCAATTTTTTTTTTAGCTTTTGGTCCAGAAATTATTGCTATCTATAAGTTTTTTTCTAAGATTAAATTTTCAAGTCATTGAGGAGAAAGTATTCAATAAAAATTCTACAAGATGGTGGAATGTATAGGAAGAAAAGTTCCTTTTTCCAAAATAGACATGGTTAATTTTTTAAATACCTAAGGAAATATTGAAAACAAAACTGACAAACATATGGGAAAATGTTGAAACTCACTAATGAAAAAAATGCAAATTAAAAGGAAGAACCAACTTAAAAAAAATTGTGATAGACCTACTCTGTCAAGAGTGCAGTGAAAATGGTCTTGCACCTTGTCAAGACATGGAATATTGCTGCAGCCTTTCCAGAAAGGACTGCAATATTTCTGAGCCATAAATCATAGGGCCCCTGGAACCAGAGACCCTTTTTCTGGAAATCTGACTTTTGGTAATAATAATAAAATGTGAGAAAGTTGTAAACATAAACATATTTACTGCAGCATTATTTTATAAAAGCCGAAAAAAAATTCAAGCCATTCAAATGACCCCAAAGAGTGGATTAGTTTACAAAAATAAACTCTACTCAGTGGAATGTGTAGATTAAAAGTGATTATTAAAAGTGAGCAAAGTGAACAATTCACATGGAGCCCTGGTGGCGCAGTGGTTAAGAACTTGGCTGCTCACCAAAAGGTCGACGGTTCGGATCTACCAGCCGCTCCTCGGAAACCTTATGGGACAGTTCTGCCCAGCCCTGTAGGATCGCTATGGTCAAAATCGACTTGAACGCAATGGGTTTTTGGGTTTAATAAGCTAACAGATGTATGGGCTGTTTGACTACAACCCCTGTTCCTACATTAATTGTTAGAGTTTTGTGGGGTAATCTTGCTGGATGGCAGATGTTCTTGACTTTCTTCATTTCTCCAAGAGGTTCCTGATGGAAGATAACTTGTGTAGAATAGGAGATTTTAGTCATCTGTTCAGGGCATATGAGTAAAATAGCTCTTCAGATAACAACAAACATACATAGAGTACACAGGAATGATTTTTGTATTACAGAAGTTATATTTTGATTATTTAAACTTTCTTTTTTCTAAATGTCTGTAGTAGCATTTTACCTGTCTGTAACAGAAATACCGCAAGTACTTTAACAAACAGAAAATTATTTTCTCACAGTTTAGGAGGCTAGAAGTCTGAATTCAGGGTGCCAGCTCTAGGGGAAGGCTTTCTGTCTGTCGGGTCTGGTGGGAAGATCCTTGTCTCCAACTTCTGCTCCTTGGTGATCTTCATGTGGGGTGGCATCTGTCTTCCCCCAGTCTCTGCTTGCTTCTCTGCTTGCTTAATCTGCTCCTTTATATCTCAAAAGAGATCAATTTAAGACACACCCTACACTAAGGCTGCCTCATTGACATAACAAAGAAAACCCATTCCCAAATGGGATTATACCCACAGGTATAGGGGTTAGGATTTACAACGCATATTTTTGGGGGACACAATTCAACACATAACATTACCTTAATAATTAAATATATGAACAGATAGACTAGATTTTTAAAACTGTTCTGTGTCAAATCTTAAAGAAACTTTTACAAATAAATATATCTAAAACTGTTAAAGTATCAGGATATTACCAGTGTCACTGATTATAATTTTTTTGTTCATTTCCACCTCTAGGTACTTTACCTTGAAAAGCAAGAAAGGTCTCCAGATCACCAACATTCAGCTCAAGTAAAAAGGCCCTCTGTTTCCAAAGAAGGGAGAAAAATACCTGTCAAATCTCAGATTTCTGTATCTCCAGCCACTGAGGGCAGCAAAACTACTCCATCGACACCAGTAATTGATGGCAGTAGTAAGACTGACATGGAAGAGAAAGACCAGCCTTCTAATGCCAGCCCTCAGTGGCCACGTGATCTCAGCAGAAGCTCCTCCAGCCTCCAGGCCTCCAATTTTACCTATTCCCCAAGCCACATTTCAGTCAAGGAGCCCACACCAAGCATAGCCTCAGATGTATCACTGCCAGTTGCCACACAGGAACTTCGGCAAAGATTGCAGCAGCTTGAAAAGTAAATCAAATACTGTTTTTAAGAACAAAATTAGAGTACACATCTCATCTATTACATGGAAGGAAAAGTAACCTGAAGTTAGCTAAAGAATTTGGGGTTGTGGTGCATTGTTGCTCACTCCATCTTTGACTTTGAAAATAAAGCTTGCCGTATTCAGTTGTTGTGTGCTGTCGATTTCGAATCATAGTGACCCCATATAACAACGTAGAACTGCTCTGAGAACCTCCAACCTTTCAGTAGCAGCTGAATGCTTAAACTATTGCGTGACCAGGGCTCCTTTGCCATATTTTAGGACCTAGTATTTGACTAATTTGAAGATCAGAAAGTTACGGAGTAACAGGTTTCATAAATAGGAAAGGAGATTGACTTAGAGTTGTGAAGGTACTATGTACCTAACCTCAGATTATGAAATAAAATCAGAAGGATTGACCTGTTGAGTTTTAATATGATGACAGGGAAAGTTTTGGCAATAGTTTGACTTTTGATGTATTTCATGTTTGGTCAACATTCCATTACTATAACCCAGTTGATTTTTGTTTGTCTTTGGATGTTTGTGTTGATTTCTTATTTAAGACCCATGGTTCATGGATGTGTTAATACTATTAATTCTTTAGATAAGAGGGAAAAAATAGTCTGTAGTTATCACAAGCTTCAGATGTTAACCTTTTCCTCTCAGTGGAAAATATAAGGCTGACCTCTGAAACATTTATTCCAATTTGTTATAAGAGGTGTGTTGAGTAATACAAATATGATCAAAGAAATAGAGGCAAAGGTGAAAAACATGTTTACTCTTAAAGAGTTAGAAAAAGCATAAGATGATTACAGAGCCCTTAAAAGGCATCTCTTTCCTAGGTCACTGATGTAGGTCTGTAAGACCTTTCTTTGATCTCTACTCAGAGTTATTTTTTTTTTCATTCATACTTTTTCACATCCATTATTTTGGAAAAAAAGAAATAAATTCCCTTCCATCTCTCTTACTCCAGAAGAAAATAGAATTTTAAACAAGTAACCATTTTTCTCAGGAGCTACATTTGAGGAGCAGCCAAAATGATCTTAGTAAACATTAAGCCAGAGCTGTGGTTATCCAATTGGTTTGCCAATCTTGGAAGTTTGTGCTTCAGCCTTGAGCAGAGGGAAATCAAAATGAAGGAATATTGCTGTCTTATCACATAGTTTAAAATAGAGCAAGCGATTTATATAAGATTTTGAGAAAGGATATGTTAGATTTGGGTAGTTACAGGCGAGACATTGCTTGGCAAAGGCCACAGAATTGATGTTTGTAATAAGGAAACATGCATATCTCATTTTTACTTTGAGCCCTAACTGAAAACCTGTCAGTCATGAATAATTAAGTCATTCTGAACCCTCATGTGAAGTATGAGTTCAGCTGATTGATTTAAACTCAAGTTTCAAATTACGTTTTAAGTTCACTGGTAATTTTGGTTCCAGAGATACGCTTTTTAGTCTAAATGAATGAAAATTATTTTATTGTATACATTGTACAAATGAATCTGAAGACAGCTGACAACTTTATGCTTTTGTTTTCCACAGTGGAACAACATTGGGACAATCTCCACTTGGACAAATTCAGTTGACAATACGTCACAGTTCTCAAAGAAACAAGCTTATTGTGGTTGTGCATTCCTGCCGGTGAGCCTAATGTGTGCTAGTGGCTTACACTCCACAATTCCTTCTATTGTTATTTCTGAGTGAAAAAAATTAAATATAGCAGTGAAAATATTTACTTCTAGAATTAGCAAACAGATAAATTTATATTTCATTTTTTAAAGAGTAAAGCAATTAAACCTAGTATAGATGGTACTACTAAAATAAATTAATATTTATTAACTTTACAGTTCTTTCCGTATCGTACAGAATATAAAAAGATACTGTCTTCTCAATTAGTATGTACCAAAGGGGTAAGTTTGGTGTGTTTGTACACAAGAAATTTTCTTGCTTTTGTATTTTGTGAGATTGATTTTACTGTGTCGAGGTCAGGAGGGAGTGCTGAGGAAGATACCTCCTATTTATTGATTTAGATTAGCTTACACTTCCCTGCCTCTAAAGAAATATGAGCAAACTGAAGAAGGAATTTTACTTTGTTAGTATACATTTGTTGAGTTTTTTGAACATAGAGAAATGTATGTAAAAAAGCACCAAGGTGTTGGAGAAGGAAGTAAAGAAAATGTTTGCCTATGTCAAACAAGACATCAGCATCTCTGAGACTAGTGAGAAAACAAAGTTGAACAGGAAAGCTTAAAACGCCTGGATGACCCATTCAGATTAATGGAAAGAAAAACAAAATACAGCGATGATAAAGATAATTTTAAGAAAAGCACCTATAATTCTACTACCCTTACATACATGTGTAACCCATTGCTCTCAAGTCAGTTCCCAGTCAGAGACCCTATAGGACAGAGTAGAACTTCCACATAGGGTTTCCGAGGCTCTAAATCTTTACAGAAGCAGATTGCCACATCTTTCTGCTGTGGAGACCTTTCTGCTGCTGCTGACCTTTCAGTTAGCAGCCGATTGCTTAACTGCAGTGCCAGCAGGGCTCCTTACAACCATATATGCATACATGTATGTACACATGTATATTTATTTATCTTCTGTATTACATTCTAGTCTTTCTCTACAAACCTGTGTTTTCTACTACTGTAATTCTAGTGTACAATTTTTTTATTAATTTCTATTCCTTTATTAACATTGTTTCATAAACTTTTTCTATTATATTCACAATCATTTCAGTTGATTTATAAAATTCCTTTGAATTGCTATACTGTAATTTATTTAACCATTCCCTATTGTTGGATGTTTAGATTGTATTACATGTAACACAATAATTAGCATACTGTATGCATGTTTTTATTTTATCTTAGTATCTTTTAGGATTAAATTCTCAAATTAGGTTTATCAATCCAAAGATTCTAAAAAAATTTATGAACTTATGATAAATATTGCCATTCATCTTTCAAAAAAAAAAAATATACCAATTGACATTGGCTGGCTCCCCAAGTGTATGGGTGTATCTTTTTCTCCCCACAATCAAGAAAAAATTTTCCTAACTTGTGCAGTGTGCTAATTTAGTAAGTATAAAATGTTGTAGTTGTTGCTAGTTGCATCGAGTTGATTCCAACTCATGACAGTCTCGTGTGCAGAATAGAACTGTTTCATAGGGTTTTCAAGGCTGTGACCTTTTGGAAGCAGATTGCCAGGGCTGTATTCTTAGGTGCCTCTAGGTGAGTTCAAACCACTAACTTTCAGCTACTAGTTGAGCGCTTAGCTGTTTGTGCCACACAGGGACTTTCCTAAATATAAAAGTCCCTGGTTGGTATGGACAGTTAAGGCTCAACTGCAGTTCTAACCCACCCGTCTTAGTTACCTAGTGCTGCTATAACAGAAATACCACAAGTGGATGACTTCAACAAATAGAGTTTTATTCTCTCACAGTCTAGGAGGCTAAGAGTTCAAACTCAGGGCTCCAGCTCCAGGGCAAGGCTTTCTGTCTCTGTCAGTTCTGGGGGAAGGTCCTTGTCATCAGTCTTCCCCTGGAATAGGAGCTTCTCAGAGCAGGGACCCTGGGTCCAAAGGATGCACCTCTGCTCCCGGCGCTTCTCTTTTGGTGGCATAAGGTGAGGTCGCTCTCCTCTCTCCTCACTTCTCTCTTTTATATCTCAAAAGAGATTTACTCAAGATACAACCTAATCCTGTAGCTTGAGTTCTGCCTCATTAACATAACTGCCTCTGATCCTGCCTCATTAACATCATACAGGTTAGGATTTACAACACATAGGATAATCATATCAAATCAAAAAGTGGTGGACAACCACACAATACTAGGAGTCACGGCCTAAGCAAGTTGATACACATTTTTTGGGGGACACAATTCAATCAAGAACACCACCCAGAGGTGCCTCAGAAGACAGACGTGGCAATTTGCTTCCAAAAGGTCACAGCCATTGAAAACCCTATGTGCAGTTCTACTCTGGCACACATGGGGTGGCCGTGAGTTAGAATCAACTCATTGGTGACTGGTTTGGTTTTAAATATAAAATGAAATGACAGTCTTGCTTTAACTGGTGTTTGATTTAATGATGATGGTGTGGATTTAGTAATTATTTTTTATGTGACTTGTCTGTCTTCATAATAGTTAAAAATACACTATAAATTTTGGAGCTTATAAAAAGCTGTTGGAAACATAAGAACATAAAATTAGTGACATTTAGAAGTATGATTAATTAAATATAGAGTTTAACTCAATAAATATTTTTTGAACATGGTTTATGTTCTTGCTACTAGATAATTACTAGGGGAGATACAGAAACAGAACACTGTTTTAGAGGAGTCTAACCGAACAGTTCCCTAACTAGACTTTCAAGTCAGTCAGTAAATGAATAATTTTAAATGGTTGTCTGTAATCAAATATTATACTGTGTTTGACTCATACAAGTTGTCATAGGAAGAAACCAATGTGGACTTCATAAAGCAGGTAGGTCCTAGTTTTTGAAGCACTTAGATGGCTGAAGGGTCAGGGTGGGAGTAAGTGGCTTGAGTAGAAGTCCTGAGGAAGAACAAGTGTACCCACTCGGGGACAGTGAGGATCTCAGCCTCTCTGGGCAGATGGCTCATGTAGGGCTATCATGGGAGCCTAGTTTATTTGGCTGTAAGCCTAACTCATGTTTCCTTATTTGGTGAAAACACAGAAGTACTTTGGAAAGATGAAGTAATAGTTTGTGTGTTAGAAATGGAGAATAAGGTGTTGGATTGTCTTCAGCGAAAATTTTAGGCTCAAGCAGTGGAGGAAAAAGTCACCTCTAGCAAAGCTGCTAAAAGACAAGGCATGGGAGAGAAGCAGACAAGCAAATGTAGGGGTAAAGAAAAAAGCATATTCTGTTACTAGTTGTCCTCTACTCCTTTTTTACTTTTCAGTTTTTAGTTACACATAAAGTTGAGACCATATATAGCGAATTTGAATGTGATGCTACTTCTTGTTTCCCTGAATTCTAATATCTATATTCTCTGGTTTATGTTATAAGAAATCTTATTGCCTTTTCTGAAGATGGCTCTGATCCCTATGTCCGAATGTATTTATTACCAGACAAGAGGAGGTCAGGAAGAAGAAAAACCCATGTTTCAAAGAAAACATTAAATCCAGTGTTTGATCAAAGGTATGATATTTTATTCAAGTTAGAAGATACTGACTGACTGAATTAACAAATTAAGAAAGGCATGACTGATATCTTTGGATGTCTTAAACATTTAAAACAATGTTCTATTGAAAAGTATAAATGGAAAAAACTCCACCAAATTTTAGCTAATGTGTACTTGTTTAAAAAAAAAAAGCATTTTGAACTTCATGTAGAAAGCTAATCATAATAAATCCAAGGTATAAACACTGTAGACAGGGAGATTATTGAGTAAATTAAGATAAATTATCGATGACCCTAAAAAACTTTAATTTATAAGGATTTATATCTATTGATATTTGCTGGATTATAAATTGAGAATATGTATATTTTAAAATAACAATAATAAACCCATAGCATCTTAAAATATAACATTTTCATGAAAAACAACTGTGATTTTTAAAACAAAAATTGTGAAAAGTGTAGTATTAATGTTTTCTGTCTACATTTATCATATTTTCATGTCAACAGCTTTATTTAAACCAGAGGTGAAAAACTGGCAAGTATGGGCCAAGTCTGAATGTAGGCATATTTTATTTGACAAAATGTTCTTAATTACCTATCTGCAGCATTTAAACATTTGGAGACTTCACATACAAATTTGAATGTCTAGCTCCTGTTGTCACATGGAACAGTCTACCCGTATTCCTGCATGACTTCAACTGACCTGAGCTCAGTAGTGGCGTCCCCTTCATTTAGCACAAACACCCTCTGGTTTGCCGTAGTCCCCACCACTCACTCCTGTTACACACCCAGCCAACTTCACTTGTTACCCTGTAGGTGTTTTTGTTTGCAACATCTGACTTAAGCCCATTAAAAAGTGCTTCAGGGGCATTTTCCCTTCTGTTAAGCTACTATCACATAATAATTTTTTTTATTGGCTATAACAGGAATAAGGCCTAAAGACTAAATAAGAATCATTTTGAAAGCCTGAGCAAGCGGACTAGTCTGGAATTCAGTGTTCTGTCATACACTACATCCACGTCTCCATTATTTAAACTACCATGAGTGAGCCACAAACAGTAGGACCTTTAATATATTTAGGATGCCATAGTCTTCTCTTATGTTTGGGGAAAAAAATGAAAAAAACTGTTTATGAATCTTTATGAAATTCCCGATCAAAACACCTAGCAGAAGGACTCAATTTTGTAATAAAAAACAAACATAACATTTGAAATGGTCTCATAAATAGAATGTTACATTTTTAGTTATAGGACTATACAGCAAAATTATGGAGAAATTTAAGTAAAGTCTTCTTTTCCCCATTTCAGCTTTGATTTTAGTGTTTCACTACCAGAAGTGCAAAGGAGAACATTAGACGTAGCAGTAAAGAACAGTGGTGGTTTCTTGTCCAAAGACAAAGGGCTTCTTGGCAAAGTAAGTTTTAAAAAATCGTTGATCAGTTCCTATACTTTGTAAAACTGAAACACTTACCAAAAGTGCAGGTTTTTTAGACTATACTTATGTAAGTGGAAAGGGGTGAACTTACTCTGTGGTTAGTGCTTACCTGCAAAATAGTGGACTGTGAAAACTGTTTATCAACTAATATATCGGTACATTTTGAAGGTATTTCCATTCTTTTTACATATTCATATTATTGACTTTTTGGTCATATTAATACATGAACTTCTAGCTGAAGGAACACGTTGATTTAATGTTCTTTTTCCTAACAATTAGCTTTATTTCTCTGAATTTTCTTCGTCTTTGTCCATATTCACATTTAATTTTTGGATAAAATTATATATTCTTTAGTAATGTATATAAGGGGCCCTGGTGGTGCAGTGCTTAAGCGTTGGCTGCTAACCAAAAGGTCAGCAGTTCGAATCTGCCAGCCACTTCTTGGAAACCCTATGGGGCAGTTCTACTCTATCCTATAGGGTTAAGTTAGGGAAGGTGAATTTTGAATTATAAATATCATTTTTGTCAGTAATATCACAAGTACAGATAATCCAAAATTAGCTATGTTGTCATTAATGGTATATTAGTCAGTATCACTATAAATTAATCTCCATGGAGATTTCATAATAATTTAAATACTATTGGATATGGGAAGGGTCTCTTAGATATAAATAACCATATTGTTTATAAGTGAATCATAAGGGTAGAAAAGATATTGAAGAAAATTAGAGCCTCAGCATAAAGGAGAGTTTCGTATTGCTAGATTAAGACAAAAGATTAAAGAGATTGGAAGTAGTGAAAGATCCAAAAGGAATTACTTCAACCTACTGTAACAAACTATTAAATCTGTTTTTTAACCGACAGGTATTGGTTGCTCTAGCCTCTGAAGAACTTGCCAAAGGCTGGACCCAGTGGTAAGTACAGCTAACACAAACCAACCAACCAATAAGTAGAAAACCTCATAGATTTATTTAAAAACACGTTTTCCACCATTAACCGTATGTCTGTTGTAATCTTCATATGCTTTCTCAGGTATGATCTAACTGAAGATGGCACACGACTGCGCACAGTAACATAGATCATTCTTGGACATGAAGAATTTTTCCTTGTTGTATTTATCCCATCTTTGTATACTTTGAATGCATCACTCTCACAGATGTACCGATATTATTTTTATAATTTCATGTATTTAGTTATTACATACCTTAAAAGTTTTATAAATCATATGTTGACATTTTAGGCAGATATGGCCGATATTATTGTTAAATTTTGTATGTTTAGTTTATTCTAATATTTCACCAGTCATTGCAATGTACAGTAAGGTAGTAGTTAATTATGGTGTTATGTAAAACTGTACACCAGTGGTATCTACTAGAAAGTGGATATATGTGTATGCTTTATTATTGCCTTGTTCTGTATATCACTGAGGTACACTGTGCCATGTAAATAGACTCTATTTTTTATAATGTCTACATGCTGGTTTGAATTCAGAAGAAGACTGATCAAGGAAATGCATATTTTCTGCTAAATCACATGAAATTCTTGTGACAAATAATCATTTTTGTCTTTGCAGCAAAAAGTTCTCAGTGCTCTATTTTGTGCTGTTTCTTTTTAAAAAGAAAAACTGAAAGATTATTAAATATTAGCATATTTCTTGCCCATTACAGCTGATGAAAGAAAGTATTCAAAATGTTAACATTTTCATAATATAAAGATGTATTATCAAAAAGTCAGTTGAAGGGCTTATAAGGAAAAATGTTTTATAACTGAGTAATATAAAATATTAAGAGAATTGTCATAGTTTATAAGTCATGGTATACTAATCTAAAATTTCTTACCTATAAATGAAATGTTTTATGTTTATTTTTAATTGCTTGGAGCCCTGGTCAAACATAGTGGTTAAAGCTACTGCTGCTAAGCAAAGAGCTGGCAGTTCAAATCCACCAGCTGCTTCTTGGAAACTCTATGGGGCAGTTCTACTCTGCCCTATAGGGCTGCTATGAGTTGGAATCAACTCAACAACGATTTCTTTGGTTTTTAATAGCTGATTGTAACTTATTCATGAAATGATACACAGATACAACAAATTGTACTTTTCCTAAAATACAATGCAGAGCAGACTTTCAATGTTAGCAATTAGGATGTTGTAAAGTAGTCAGTCATGAGCTTTGTTTATCTTTAGTGTTTTCCCAGCCTGTAAAACAAGGAAGGCACACATTGTCGTTACAAAAGTTGCAAGATAGATTGGGTTGGGTAAATGGAATATTGAGTTAACTGATAGTTTTTCTATTCATTAGTTAATGTGAGAAGAGCTTGGTTTTACATCATCCATAAGGAATGAAAGAGCCCTGGTGGTGCAGTGGTTAAGAGCTCAGCTGCTAACCGAAAGGTTGGTGGTTTGAACCCACCAGCTGCTCTGTGGGAAAAAGATGTGGCTGGGAGTCCGCTTCCATAAAGATTACAGCCTTGGAAACCCTTTGGGGCAGTTCTACTCTGTCCTGTAGGGTTTGGAATTGACTCAACAGTAGTGGGTTTGGTTTTGGGTTTTTATGGGGCGTGATGAGCTGGAACACTGTTTGATTCTGCTGATACTCATAGGCTACCACCAGGACCAAAGGGTTTCAAGACAGCTGCCAACACAAGCAGCCATTAGTTTAAAATAACAATTTCCTGGGTTTTCTTATCTTATGCCATGACTGACCTTAATATTGGGATATTGCTATATAATTTTTATTTTGGAATTTTTTTTTTCTTTTTAGATTATTAAAAGCATGTTTTATATACTTAAGAGTCCCAAAAACCTCTTGTAAGGTGAGGCTATATAGCAGTCTCATAAGCTATGCATGCCTAAAACAAAGTATGCACACATACAGAGAGATTTTTAAATATATCTTCTAAGCTGTGTGGTGAAAATGGCTTTCCTAGCCATGAGAACATTTTTAAACTATGTATAAATATGTTGGGGAAAATATAGCTTTGTAATTGAAATTGGTGGTCTTACCTTAATTGGTTTCATGAAACTAAACAACTTCTGGATAGATTACATGACCAAACATACCAAAGTGCCTGTGATGAGCAGAGATTGTTATTTCTTCTCAGATTGTTTTTACACACACTGGCCTTGCAGTGAGTTTTCATTTGTTTTAACTTCGAACCATGAGATTACTTATAATGGAGTCTGTAACTTCACAACATATTTCATGTAATCATAAAGACTACTATAATCTCATTATTTACTATTTAATGAAACTTCATCTAAAGCCTCATTATAAACCAATTCCATTGTTAGTATATAGAGTTGATTCTTCTGGGAGGAAGTTTATATATATGTTGATACACACATATGAACATATGTAAACACAAAATATTTAACAATGGTATTTTAGTAGTATGAGAAAGATAAACAATAACATTAAATCTAATTGCCTACCCATGGTATTAGAGTATTTGAAGATTTTTTTTTTTTTAATTAGGTCTCTTGAAGGGCTTCTGGCATAATCTGTAAAAGAGAAGAAAAACTCAGTCATTTTTACTAGCATCCTAAACATGTGGGTTTTGTAGTCACATGCTTAATCTATTCAGTCTATTCAACATAGACCATCCTTGAACATATTTTACTTAATGGAATGCTTTATTTAAGCAGTTAGGCGAAGTCGATAGAATTAAAGGTACAAAACACAAAGGAACCCAGTTTAGCAGCACAATGGGTCGCCCTTTGATGCCAGAAGCTTCATTTCAGTCACTGTCAGTCCAGTTGTGGGAGAGTTATCACCAAGGAGTTTGGATACCAAGTCCACACCTGCAGGTTATGAGCCTTCTTGTAGCTGCCTCCGTTCTCTTTAAAAGGAAAGAAAGAAAGAAAAAGGCAAAATATGACACTAACGTACCTCCCAGATTATGGTTAAGTCTTTTGTGGCAAGATTAGAATTAAAAGGGAAGCTTTTAATTATATTACAAGGGTGAAAGGTTACAGAATGACCAATCAAGGCCATTCCTAGAATCCTGATAATGATGAAAACTCTGAGTTGTTCTCAAAACGTTCATTCTTAGTTTATAATGATTGGTTGATCTAAGAAAAGGGAACTTTAACCTCTCTACTTTTAAGGCAAACCAATGAAGGGAAAGCATCTTAAGTGAGTCCTAAAGTGCAGTTTTGGTTAGCATGTACATGTGGATTGCTTATCCTGTGCCTTAAAGTATGGAAATACGGAAGTGTTGTTTTCAAGTTTCAGATTTAAAACATAAGAAGCCTTGTAGCTGTATTTACCACAGTTTATAATCTGTACTATGAGAATTCCTTTCACTGACTTTCATCATCAAGAAGGTCAGCCCTTCTTTTTCAGGAACTTAAGCCAAATACAAATTAGTGTGTAAACAACTTTGCATTTATATTGTAGTCAATATTTTAATTCCAATTCTAGCTTTGTCCTCTCTGCAGGTGGAAAAAGCAGAGGGATTTATTATTATTATTATTATTATTATTATTATAGACTGCCTTTTTGCTCAACTAATTTTACATGACAGTGCATGTATTTATTCAATAAAACTTTTCTGTTAGCTCACTTGTGATTTGCTTTTCCTTTATATTTTGAAATGAATTTTTTAGTGTGGGAGGGACCAGATGACTTGAAAGTAGATATAGTGTGCTATTTGCATTTGCTATTTTTGAGTTCTTTCATTTTCAGAGCAACTACATGGGATTATTTGGTATTACTCCTTTTGTTATCTTAATTTGACTCTTCCCTGCCTAGCTTAAACTCTAGGTTTTGAAAACGGCTCTCGTGAGAATAAGCATAGTAGAAATAGTAGTCTTTTAATATGCTTTATAACCAGAGCACTGAAAAGTAATGAACCTGAAGCTGCTGAGACTGTCTGGATGTTTGAACAAATTAAGGGAGGAATACTAGAGATATTCATTACTGTTTAAATTCATTACAGAATTTTTGGAATTGGAATTGGCAGTATATGAATACTTTGTAGTCTTTTCCTTAGCCTCTCAGCATTTAACATAGTTTACATCCTTTATCATTGTTTAAATGCCATCTTTCCTTGGCCTCTAATGCCTTGCTATCTGAATTTTCCTTCTACATTTTGCTGATAATTACTCAAGCTCTTTTACTGTCTTCTCTAACCAGACTACTGGAATAGCACAGGGTTTGGTTCTGGTCCGTTTTTTTAGTTTATTTTCTATAGTCTTTTTAATACCATTGATATTCCATCATTCCAAATTTATATCTGCAGTGCAGATTTTCCTTCTGAGGTCAAGACCAGCTTATCCAGCTGCTTCCTCATCAGCTGCTTCCACTGGGATATTTCATAGTGCTCCCGCTGTCTAGGTGCTTGAGCTGAAGACCTAGACACCGTCCTTGATCTGTCACTCTCCATCACTCCACATATGCAAATACCAAGACCTTTCATTCTAGCTGGAGGCTATATCCATTTCAACTGCTATCTCTGTAGTCCAAGTCACCATCATTTCCTGCCTAACACAGTAGACTCCAAAATTTCAAGCCTTAAACCTCCCCCAACTATGCATTCTCCACAAATCTGAACAAAACACAAATCTGAACTCATCACTCTAGTGCTTTCAGCTGCTCTTAGGATAAAGACCAAAAGAATATCATGCTGACAAAGTCCTGAGGCCTTTCCAACCATATTTCATTATACTTGAACCACAATGGCTTTCTGTCAGTTCTTCAGACTCCAAACTCCTCCTTCCCATCCTGAAGCCTTAACATGCTCTTCCTGTGATGCTGTCACCCTGTGTGTCTCGCTAACTTCCACTCTCCTTCACTTATCAGCTTCAAGTCAATTTCTTCAGATACCCTTTACCAACACTCTCCCCATCTAGACTTAGCCTCCCTGTTATAAACTGGCTTGTTGTTACTAGTTGTCATCAATCCAACTCATGCAGAGTAGAACTGCTCCATAGTTTTAAAAGCTGTGACCTATTTGAAGCAGCTTTCCAGGCCTGTCTTCCAAGGTGCCTCTGGTTGAGTTCAAACTGCCAGCTTTTTGGTTAGTAGTCCAGCACTTAACCATTTGTGCCACCCAGGGACTCATAAGGTCTCTTACTAACATATTATTTTTGTTCATGGTACTTAACATAATTGTGATTTAGTTTTATTTAAAACTGTTTCCCACCTGGACTGTAAACTCCCACGGACAAAGATTATGTGAGTGTTATTTAAATCTTTTCCCCATCACTGTTCTTGGCACAAAGTTGATGAACAAATATCTGTTGAATAAATGATATGTAAAGTTTGGCAGGCCATAAATAGCATTCATATGTTTTAACAAGTTACCATTCAAAGAAAGATACCTATTGACAATTCTTAGTAAAGACTAAAGGAAAGGTACTGATTAACATAATAAAGAATGCTATTGAAATAAAAAGCCAACAGCATAATTATCTGATAAACATTTGAGGCATTAGGGTAGGCAAGAGGGCCAGGAACTCAGCCTTCATTTAATATTATTTTGGAAATCTTCGACAACAATGAGAAAGGATGCAAACTGTGTTAAATGCTGAGAAGCTAAGAGAAAGATGCAAACTATTCACTTATAGTCTGTTTCAATTCCAAAATGTCCTGGACAACACAGTATGAAAAGAAAAAGAGATGCTATAAATTTTATACTGGGAGAGAGAGAGTCATTTTCAGATACAATATTGTCTACCTGAAAAATCCAAGAAAATAATCTGAAAAACTTTTGGAATTAACAAGTGTTTAATAAGAGGACCAGCCATAAAAGTGTATCATATATACTGATACTAATAGCTATCAGAAAATATAATGGAAGAAAATTCATACAGTAATAATAGCTCACATTTAAATAAGCACTTGATATATACCAGGCAATGTTCAGAATGTTTTATGTCCTTTAGGCAGATACTGTTATGCATAGAGAGGCTAAATAATGTCTAAGGTTGCTGTCTCAGGCTGGGTTCTCTAGAGAAGCAAAACCAGTAAAGTGTATAAATATATATAGACAGATTATATCAAGGAAACAGTTCACGTGATTGTAGAGGCTAGAACGTCCCAAGTCTGTGGATCAGGGTAGAGGCCTCTCCCAAGTCACACAGATGCAGAAGCTGGCAAGCCCAAGATCGGCAGGTTGGAGAGCAGGGCTCCCAGTCACAGGCTGTGCAGATCGACGAATCCCAGGTTCAGCAGATAAGCTGACAGCTCAAGTCCCAAGAATGGGAGATGAGATGACAGGAAGCAGCCACAGGATCCAGAGAGAGCAAAAAGCCAGAACATCTGCTTATATACAGATATGGGCCACACCTCCAAGGAGACTCCCTCTCATTTGATTGGCTACTCACAGTATATTCAATCATGGGAGTGATTACATTAAAACACTGAGAACCATGGCCCAGCCAAGTTGACACACAATCCTAACCATCACAGTTGCATAGCTACTAAACAGGATTTGCGGTTCTAGAGCCTGTGATATTAAGACTATGTTCTACTGCCTTCCCATAATTACACAAAAACATAAAATACCTGACACCAGCAAGACAGCATGGAGCCATTTTTAGGGAAACTTGAACATTTACTTCAGAACATACTCTATTGAAAAATAAATAAAATGACATACCATTTTATAGAATGGATGTTATAAAGATACCAATTTTCCTTAATTTATAAACAATGCTCATGATTTCAGTGGGATTTTTTTACTTGACAAAAAATTATTTGGAAAACACATAAAATATACTTGAAAAAGCAAAAATATATGAAGAAAAGAGAGTTGGCTTGATATAGCAAAGTAACCATAAGATGTATGATTAATTTTACCCAAAGAATTTGGTCTTTGTTCCTGGTTCCTGGGAGGTAATATCTAAACCCTTGGAATTTTCCCAGTGGTTGTTATTCATGGAGGTGCTCCAGACCACACCTGACAGGTCATGCTAATGGGTTGACTCTTAGGTGGGGGCTGACCACACCAGAAAAAACAACCATGTGATATCAGCCCAACCTCTGGGGAGGAGAAGGGGACTGGAGATTTAGTTCAACCACATGGCCAATGATTCACAATCATGAGACCCCAATAAAAACTGGATACTGAAGTTTGGGTGGGCTTCCTGGATGGTGAAAGATCAATGCTTGGGAGGGTGACACATCCCTTGGGACATGGAAACTTTGCATTGGGGACCCTCTCAGACTTCACCCTGCATCTCTTCTTTATGCTGGTTCTGATTTGCATCCTTGATAATAAAACTGTAGTTGTAAGTATAGCCACTTTGCTGAGTTCTATGAGTCATTCAAGCAAATTATTGAACACAAGTAGGTAGTGGGAACCTGAGTTTGTAGGCAGCAGATCAGAAATGAGGATGCCTTGGGGACCCTTGAGCTATCACTGGCATCCTGAGAGGGTAATGGGAAATCTAGAATTCATAGCCAGCATGTCAGAAGTGAGGGGAGCTTGGGAAGCCCAAGCTTGTGACTAATGTCTGACATATTGGGCAGACTTAACAGTCTGGAGGACTGTGCCCTTTAACTTGTGAGCTCTGACCCAACTCTGCGTGGTTAGGGTCAGAGGAAGAACTGCATTTGCAGTTGGTGTCAAGATTTGGTGTGAGAAGGCAACACATAGACAGCCCTAGTAACATAAACTAAAACAGTGTAATATGACACGGGAATTGAAAATTAAACTAGTAGAACAAATCAACTTGCCCTAAAAGCAGCCTCAGGCATTTTATGATAAAACTTCGGTGAAGAAAGGATAGACAATTTAATAAATTGTGTTAAAATAAATGTCAAAGTGAAATCCTTCCAATGGCCCACACTCCAGAATAAATTAGAGGAAAGGTAATTGTTTTTCCTAAAATAAAGTCACTAAAAAATTAATTTTAAAATGTAATCTTAGGAGAAGTCTTTCTTCAGCATGACATCCAAGGAAGAAGTCATGAAGGGAAAGGTTTGTAAGTTAAAACATTTAAAAAGATTTTTTATTATTTTTTTATTGTACTTTAGATGAAGGTTTACAAAACAAATAGTTTCTCATTAAACAGTTAGTGCAAATATTGTTTTATGACTTTGCTTAACAACCCCACGACATGTCAACACTCTGCCTTCTCGACCTTGGTTTCCCTATTACTAGCTTTCTTGTCCCCTCCTGCCTTCCTGTCCGTGGGCTGTTATGCGCCATTAGTCTCATTTTGTTTTATGGGGCCATCTAATCTTTGGCTGAGGGATGAACCTCAGGAGTGATTTCATTACTGAGCTAAAAGGGTGTCTGGGGACCATACTGTTGGGGTTTCTCCAGTCTTTTTCAGGCCAGTAAGTCTGGTCTTTTTTTTCTGTATGTCTGGTCTCTTTGTGAGTTAGAATTTTCTACATTTTTCTCCAGCTCTGTCCAGAACCCTCTGTTGTGATCCCAGTCAGAGCAGTCAGTGGTGGTAGCCAGGCACCATCTAGTTGTACTGGACTCATTCTGGTGGAGGCCTTGGTAGCTGTGGTCCATTAGTC